ACACACACACACACACACACACACACACACACACACACACACACACACACTCCTACTCCAGTATTTATTTGCCTACTTATTTATCACAGAATCTTTTTCCACTGGAAAGTAAAGACAAATGGTTTGTCTAGGTCCTCCAGCAAAACAAAATTTGACGGTCTAGCATTGATGTTGCAACAGCTTCCTAACTATCTTGTCTCGTTTCTTTGCTGTAACAGTCTGTGTAAAACCCAGATCTAACCTCTCAGCAGTATCTTTAGGCTTGAGACTCCTTCACATGTACCAGGCCTGTCGCAGTCTGTCCTCTGCTCACCTCATGCCTTACCCTTCCACCGTTTTCCACCAAGAACAGAATTACTTCATTTATACTAAACAGAATGACTCATAGTGCCTTGAACATTGGCCTCATAAGATTCTGAAGACAATACGTCAGCTACACTCTGCTCTCTGAACTTCGTTTACAGAAAGTCACACCCTGCAGTCGGTGTCAGATGCCTGTGTGGTGGGGAGCTGGCAGGGCCACTTGCTCCGCAGTATGGACCACATGTAGCCTCTTCATTCCTGTCCCGTCTCTTGTGGGTGTATTTGTACAAACAACCACATCAAATCATCTTTTACTGCCCATGCTATTTTAAGTCAAAGCGTTGATCTTATTTACTCATACAATTCAAACCAAATGTGTATGTCCAATATCTTTGATAATCAGATCAAAGTAATTATTGAGTTGGCCCAAAAGTTCGTTTGGGTTTTCCGTACCATCTTACTAAAAATCTGAACCAACTTTTCGGCCAACCCAATACATTTTGTAAGTAGATCTATGAAACCACACAGAACATTTTATCACATATGAGCAGATAAAGTCATCTTACCAACATTAATTTTCAGATATTTTAAGGTATTTTCAGAGATTTTAACTTTCAGACATTGTTTGTACTCTGTTGTTTTACTTTTGTGATATTTATGTGATTCAACAATTGCCTTGAGTGCTTTATTACATATAATATGATAGCTTTATTGATCAAACATTGCAAAGACTACGAAACGTTTAGGGCTTGGGAAAAGGCTTAATTTTTATTTTAACTTATTTAATTTTGGCTGTATTGGGTCGTCGCTGCTGCGTGCAGCCTCCCTCCAGTTGCTCACTCCCTGCCACGGTGCACATGCCTCTCACCGCGGCGGCCTCACCCGTTGCGGAGCATAAGCTTCAGGTACACAGGCTTCAGTAGTTGTGGCATGCAGGCTCAGTAGTTGTGGCTCGTGGGCTCTAGAGCACAGTCTCCGTAGTTGTGATGCACAGGCTTAGTCACTCCGCGGCATGTGGGATCTTCCCGGACCGGGGCACGAACCCGCATCCCCTGCATCGGCAGGCGGACTCTCAACCACTGCACCACCAGGGAAGCCCTCTCATGCACATTTTATTAGACTTAATTAAAATTTTGTTTTTCTAAATGAGCTTGTATCTATTTCTAATGTCATTCAATCAACATATTTATACTCACTGCAGAAACCGAGCCAAGATGTAGTACATGCTGTATAGCCCCATACTTCTGTAGAAATGTTTGTGCAGTGTATTTTGGCCAAGACCATGATATTTAATAATTCATAATCTTCAATCACAAAGGACAAATGTAAGTTCTTGAAAAGGTAACTGTGAAAAGCCTCTTGAGAGTGAAACTTGAATGTCCCCATTCAGCTGGGAAGAGCGCCAGCTTGTAGGATCAGGTGACGATGACCTCCTCTTAGTCTCTGTTACCAGCCAGGTGCTCACAGGCACTTCACCTTGTGTCCACTGTCCGACTGAGATCTCCTTTTCTTAGGCCATGCGGACACAATTTTCCTGTTTTATCTGACATATAATCCTGCATGGTGGACTTTTTCTACAAGTAGAATCAAAATTAAATACTTAAGATTTAGCACTAAGGTGTCAGGATCTTTCTGTTGTGCTTTGCATTCCCTGAATGTCCTTAAAAAGATATAAAAATATCAGAACCAAAAGCCCATGCCAACTTCAGGCAGCTACAGCATTGCCTTTTGGCAGTCTTTTCAGTCATAGCGTTTGGAAACTGTAATCGCAGTCACATTCAATGCTAAATTTGTTTAAATAGAGCTCACTTCTTTTATTATATTATTAATCATTTGTCCACAAATCCACCAGGCAATGGGATGCCCGATGTTTTTTGCTTTGGAAATTTACCGAGCTTGAGAAGCAAGATGATAGACTTCAGAGTTAGAAAAACTTGGGTTTAAATTTCCATTCTGCCCTGACTGCCTGTGCCTTTGGGTGAGTTACTTCACCTCTGGGACTCGCAGGCTTGGGAGATGAAATGCCTTGACCACCGTAATGCCTGCTGCTGGTTGTCTGGGCTCAGTGACCCCACAGGAAGGAGCAAGGCCGGGTGAAGAGCACAGGCACATTTGCTTCCTAGGCCACCGTTTCTCTTCATTGATCCAGAAAATTGGGAGTTGACTTTACTTCCTAAAGCTTAAACAACCAGTATGGTTCTTTGTTATAATTGCACTGTCCATAAAGGGGCTGCTGATCTCTGAGTGAATTTGGAATGACATGTAGGACAGTTTGAAAAATTTAGAATGACTGACTTAGACAAGAAAAGCAGGCCTTTGGGGCTTCCCTGGTGGCACAGCGGTTGAGAGTCCGCCTGCCGATGCAGGGGACA